AAGCACGAATAATCGACCGGTATCGGGTTATTGTTTCGCGCACACCGGAATTTTATTTAATCAGCCTTGTATAAAACGATACGTACGCGTGGTTATTCGCCGTGGTACCAACGTATTTACCATCGAGCGCAATTATTCATTAAAATAACATGTCGGCCTGTTTACGCGAGCAGATTTTTAGCAGGGTATAAAATTTGATTTTATCATGACCGTTACGCCGTGAAAACAAAACTGTCGCGGGGACCGAGGACGTTCCCGCTAAATTGTAGCCGTAAACACGGTATCGAGGAATATGTAACCAATTTCCTGTTAGCTTGGCAACATTTAATCGGCTGCGTACATGGTGTATCGCGTCGACATATTTGACGCGTTTGTCCCGTAAATCGCCTGGATCGTTCGATTCTTCTTTTCCGTCGCTTCGCGATAAATTCGTAGAAGAGATCAAAGAAAAGTTTGACGCGAGTGTATCGACTCGATTATGCGAAACGCGACGTAAACTCGATAACCGTGCGTTACGCAAAGGCACGCGGAGACCGTGGTACCCTGGTTGCGCGCTGTCTCTACGTCCCTGCACACCCTGCCCGTGTATTCTTCCCTTACGTGCAGCGAAGCTTCCATAGAGACGGTTATTTCTCTCGTTTAATTTTTTCGGACATTTTCTTCGACGACCGATATAAGCGCTTTTCCTTTATATTCCTGGCTACCGTCGCTCGGTACCTTTCCTCCTCCAGTTCCGGTTCCTTCTTTTATTCACACTCGCTGCGTAGCAACGAAGATGCCCAGCTGTTCGTTCGCATGGAAAAACGGTCGTATTTCCACGGCAAAAAGGGTCCCATTAATATCTATTAGCAAGCCGTACTCGACGTCACTTGGATTTGCTCTTTCTCCCTTTTCCGCGGCGTCCGTTCTCCATAGCGAGGAGAGTCGAAAGCAAAGAGGGTCCCAGCTGGAGGAACGAGGGATTCGGTTGTACCCTGAAATATGAGGAATCGTTTGTTCTCATTAGACAGCGGCGTGGAGGGCAGGTGAATCGAATTGGCGATACCTCAGTGCCATCCGTCAGACCAATACGTTCTCTGAATTATCGATACATCCATCGGACGAGATCGATGAAATCTTCATGCATACTCCTTTGATCCGTGCTTATTAATAAACCAGCGAATATCAAATTTATGTATCAATAATTTCGTGCCACTGGGATTGTTATAAGGCTATTGAAGGAATATTTGATGGGCGGGGACAAAAATTTGGCGGCCGGTTTATGCAAAGCTAGCAGCGAAACATTGAAAATTCTTCGGGTGTGCTATTTTTCGAAAACTGTATATTATGCCGTATCACAAAAGCTTCACGTACCATTTTCAACACAATGGCAGATTTTTCCAGCTGAAGCGCACTCGAAATAATTTTAGCGAATTTATCGAACGGCGCTTCAAAAGAAATTTATTTCCTCCACTGTGTGCCCCGGGCTCTGCCCGTTTCCCCGATGAAATATACTGAAACACGCGAATGCTATTTATCGTATTAATCGACTTTCCTATAATTAACGGACTTTTTCACGTCTCTTTGGCTTAATGCAACGCATTTGATTCGTCGATCAAGTCTATTTGTCTTCCTTCGTGCGCCGCGGCCGCACGTGCGCGTAATTCAGCAGATGGTGAAAGCGCGTGTACGAATCGCTCGGTACGGGCCAGAAAAATGCTAGAAACTCGTGAAACGCGTTCGAATTCAAAGAGCTCGTAATTAGTCGACGGGGAACACGTGTCGGTCATGGTGAAACAATCGTGGCCTCTCCCTTTGCCACTCTTTTTTTCCTTTCATTTCTTTTTCTTTTTTTCTCCATTTTTCCTCCCTCCCTTTTTCTTCCCTTTTTTTCTCCCTTCCCTTTTTTCGTTCGTCGCTTTTTGCGTGGCACCGGCGAGCGAGGCTCGAATTTCTTTTCAACCAAAACGCGTCGGCACCGTGTATCAACGAAACGTTCGACGCGATGTCATAAAGTTGGCGGAGTACGCACCGTCATCTCGGTGACGCGCGGTTCGAATTGTATCCGGTTGAATTAAATATCGACGTCGAAACGATTACGCATTACCCGGCCAGGCGGGCGTATTTTCGCGGGCCCCTGGTCGCTCGATTTTCGGCAAACCGGATTTTTGCAACACGCTCCTTTCAACCATCGGAATCGATTCCAGAGCGGTCAGTTTATCTGAAAAATTAACGCGGCGCGATCAAGGTAACCGCACGCGCAAATATTTTAATCAAACGGAACCTCTGCCCGTGTATACCGGGATCGAGACGATTGCTCGTTGAAAAAAATATTCAACGAAGTATTCGCGAAGCGGCACACGCGATATCGATTCTAATCGGTCCGTTAATAACGAGATAAAATGGCCGGCAGTGGCGGCAGAGCTCGATTTCGATCTGTATGCAGGTGACTAATCGGAAATTGGCGAAAGTTTAGACCGGAGATATTTCCCGTTCCACGGGACAAGCTCGTTCTCGTCGTATGCTCTTTCAATTTACAGACGTCACTTCTTTGACGTTCGCTGCCAGTCCCGGCGTGAATTCCATCGCGGATGATATCGCGCCAACGACGACGACTTGCCTGTAAAATAGCAAAGAATTCAGCCGCGAGTGCTGTCTGTTTTCGTTTCGCCGCTGCAAAACCCGCTAATCGTTCTTAATTCGTTGCTAATTATCCTGTTTCGCGTTCTCGAGTACCGCACACGCCGGCACTCTTTCACCGGAGACCAGTTGAAATAAAATCGATTCGACACTCGCGTAACCGAAGCTACCCGGCTCTTTAAACTCTTTTTACTCCCTCTAATATCGTATAGTACGTAATTATCGAAGCAGCGTCGTCGGTTAAGCATTTCCAGCCGTTAAACCGTTTTACGTCGACAAAGCCGATACAGAGTCACAATACCCTTTTATCATAATTAAAACGTCGCAGTTTAATTCGCGTTGATATTCTTGCTGCAAGCAGCGTTTTCATTTGCAAACGTTGGTGTGCTCGAGGTCCGTGACCCGCTTCCACGAGGATCTCGCGGCTCTCAATTTTGCCGGTGTGCCTATCGTGCGGTTGCATCTCTTAAACTTATTTAAGTTTCGCCATATTTTATCCGCGAGGACGGACGATACTTCGAAGAATATGGGTACGAACCGCTCGAAATGAAATCGTACGTACGTACCTGCGCTATCGCGCTGGTCTCCGTCGAATCCCGGCATAATCTACAAAAGTATTTTGGCTCGGCGAATCCGGCGGAAACAGCTCAGAGTATGATAAAGAAACCGGCGGGGAATAAAATTCGCATTTCACAGACGTTACGATTGCCATTCGTCCGTGGAATCGTACCGCTGAAAAGTTTTTTCGGATTACAGATTTCCCGGTTATCCGATTTCTGGTTCGTTCTCATCCGCGGCGGAGCTCATTACGATACGTCGCTATTATTGAGCAAAATTCTACTTACTCCGCTCTCTATCCCCATTGCGCTTTTTATTTTACCGTAAAAGGCTTACGGTGTGATAAAAGTAAGATTGCACGGCGAGAAGTGGGGCGGAGTCATAAGAAAGTAGGTGGAATAAAGGTAAGAAGGAGTGGCGAGATTAGAAATTGAAGGGTCAGAAATTGCACGGAGGAATATTCTCTTTGAGCGGTGAACGAAAAGAGTGGCGCTTAAAAGATCAGTAGTCACGGCTCGTTACTGGCCAGACAGCCGTGGCGCAACAGTATCTCGCGTAATCGCTTGCGTATCTCTCTTCTACTTACGCTAACATATACTTTACATCGATTCCTCAAAGCGCGTTACAGGATTTGTCAAACTCAATACGCGATATTTCCAGAGGAACTTTTTCCATTTTATACTTATTTCGGTCTCGGGAAATCAATAGTACCGCGAATTACGCGAATCGTAATGCAGCCGATGCGAGAATATATGCACGTATATGCAGTACGCCGAACCGTAACCGTAGCCTGTACCGAACCGTCATAGAACCGATATGGAACCGATATTTCAAATACTCTGTAATAAAAGTCGATATCTTCGCAGATTTCGGTTCCTTATATCTATTATAGAAAATAACGATTCTTGGAAACTGCTTCGACAAACGGGAATCGATATCGTAGCAGTTTCAAACTTCTGGTTAGTGTATCACATCGATGATGATGTCTGCGGAGAAAAAGCAAAGAACGAACTTATAACTACCCTTAATCTACCTTAATCTGCATCCCGATACCGTTGTTATCCTTTATTTTAGATTTTCAAGATTTAAAAAGAATTTTCCAAACTTCGAATAGGTATACCGCGAAAAGTATCCGTGCGCGACGTTAACGAGCGTTTCGAAGAATAATTAACTTTTCGTGCCAATTATATCGTGTTAGCGATTCGTGGAATAATCGAAGAAACAGTTAGGAAATTAAATAGGGCTGTACGGCGAGGGTGGAGTGGACAATAGTCACCGGCTAACTCACGGTACGTCGGTTACTCCATAGGAACGCGACGTTCGATCGAGTTTCCGTTTTGTAGCGAGTGCTATTTTAGCTGATTTATCGGTGAGTTGCTTTCGTCGCTGTTAGCTCGATATCGGTTTTTCCCCTTTTTTTCGCATACCTATACACGTGGATGTCTATATGTGTGTCCTGTGTGTTATCCCTTCCAACGATTCCAGCTGGGCTCTCGATCACCGGTAACGTTTATCCTCGCTGCTCAGCCTTCACCTCGCGCGCTACTGTTTCTCCCGTCGTCGTCCCTGTCCCTTCTCTTTCGATTACCTCTAGAACGTCGGATCGCGTGACAGACCCTCGTCACTTGTTGTCTGCAGCCAATTGCAGAGGACAGGTACCCGGGTGACTGACCTTTTGGAGGTTCGCCGTTTCGAAAAATGCGAACAACGAACGCGGCCACTCGATTGTCCCCGATCTCGTGCGTTCATTCGCTCGTTCGCTTGCCTATGGCAGTCATCGAATTATTTGTTTTCATGTATCTTTCTCTCTCTTTCTGTTACAGACGCCACCGTGCCGGTAGGTCTCTGCCTGCTGATCGAAAAGGGACTGTCGGTGGTGAGTAACCCTTTTAATATCGCCCGTAACCGAGCCTCTTTTTCGAAACGAACCACGGTAAACGTATTCTCCGTGCTAATACAAGCGACACGGGATGCGCAGGGATATTAAAAAACTTTCTACCGCGCGCGTGAGCGTGCAGGAAAATTTGTACATTTTTCCGTGGCGCGCGCACACGACAGTGCAAAAAGTAAATCGGTCGAGTATAGTGTCGAAAAGAGGGTGACGGACGCAGGCTGGTTAAGAGAGGAACGCAGGAAAGTTGGAAAAATATTTTTCACCCGTTTCGCGGCTGCTTTTTCCCACCCTCGTTCACCCCTTCCTACTCTCCTGGCAAGAAGCACGTTGCTAAACTAAACTAATAATAATATCTCGAGCATATGGCGTCGCTGGCGGAAACTTTACACGTCCGTGAGGCAAAAATGGCGGACGTGCACGGGAGACGAGCCGCGGGTCGTTGCATTTTTCTCATATCAAGCCCAGCCATGTTGCTTCCGATTCGGGGACGCCTTTTACACCCTGTATCGCTAAACTGTCGATTCCACGTCCTCGTTCCGCGAATCCATCGCGAAACGTTAACGCGTGTACTCCGCTTCGTTCCACTTTATTCCTCTCTGGAAATAATCGAACCCAGGAACCGACCGATGGGTCGACGATGGTCGCGGTGCCAAGTTTCGTCGTGCAAATCTAATTTCTAATTTCTACCGTTCTCCGCGGTAACGTTCTCGGAAACCGTTGCGCCGCGAACTGGCCGGAGTCGTAAAGCCGACGCGGACGCGGCTATTTACGTTTTGGAAATTAAATTTTTTCGTTTACAGTTCCTCCACGGCACGAAGGCAATTTCCTGGTCAGTAGTTTTAGAAGTTTATGACTTTACGACTCGCGCGCAGACCGTTCCTAAGGAATATACGGACTTTCTGTACGTGTCACATAATGAGCCTGCCATGTATCCCGCGGTAATTTTCTTCCCACCGGAAATAAATCCACGCCGATTAAAACGTCGATCGTGATACCGCTTCTCGCGCGGAGCAGCCTTTCGCACGTTTCGTAATTGGTCCGACATCTCTGCTCGTGTAACTCGAGTCGTATTAAATATCAGCAATCGCGATCGAAACGCGCGGATTTGCTCGGAAAATGCAGAAGCTCGAGTATTAATCGAGTCAGCCTTGAAAATCGAACTAACCCGAAGCAGCCTCTTATGCTTAGTCGAATCAGCGCGAATCGGCCGCGGAAAGGCGGATTAGACGAAGTTTGTAAAGCGAGAACTCGTTGATATTCGAATACGACTCGCGGGATTTCAAGTCGTGGTACGCGAAAAGGGGCAGAAACGTAGATCGAAAACGCGTGGAAACATTTCCTCGCGCGCGTTTGAATTTATTTTACCGGCGTACAGGAGCGAATCGGAACTTCGCAATCTCGCGATGCAGGGGATTAGAAACTCGACTAGCCGGCTGCGTAAGGTTCACCGATCGATAGACGTTTGGGATGCTTGGTTTCTTCTGCGACGCGAAACGATCCACGATCCACCGCTTTATCCGACGCGATAATAACGAGTTTAACATCGAATCGAAAGCTTGTTCCCTTATCTGGCGACCGTAAAGATGGCGAACTAGCCGATGAAACGAGCACCACGGTTTCGATGATCGGCCTAGCGTAACTAGCACGTCGCAACCCTCGACTATTCTCTCTCTCTCTCTCTCTCTCTCTCTCTCTCTGTTTCTCCCTCCACATCAACGAATTAGCGATGCTCTGGCTAACGTCTATATACCTTATATCGTATATTCCCCTTGGCGATGACGCAAATACGAGCTTGGTATCGTGTCAGCGTAAACATTGCTCGTGCTGACTCCGCTCTGGGACCACCGCGTGCACGGATAGATGTGTAGCAGAAACCTAAATTTGCCGTGAATTTTGGAAAAACGACAAGCGAGAGGTGGTCTCGTCGTTAGGCTTCATTGTCAATGGAACGCGTGGAGAGAAAACGTGATCAAATTCGAGTAAACAGGTTTACGAAGTTAATTATACGGGTAGCCCGAGGTCGGAACGTCGCCGAGCTAAGTGGATACGTTTCCGTATAGATTTTTTCCGTGTTTGGAAACGTGAGCGCTCGACGAGCGTGTTTACGAATTTCGAGCTGCCTCGACGCAAATCCCAAGTAAGCGAGCTAGTCGAAATGTTTTTGTCCGGCTCCCCGTCGCGTTCGTGCCTCGCCGTTCAACCTTATCCGCTTCGAACCAGTCTCAAAATCAGTCGTCACTCGGTGATCGTCGCGAGCAGAAGCATACGAGTCGACCCCGCGTCTCTTACGTCGCCATGAGTTGCCACGTGCTCGGGGTGAACGCGTCGGTGTGCGTGCGCGTAATCGGACCCGATACCTGGACGACTGGGCATCCGGAAGTTTTAATCAGGTGAGAGCCATTAGCGATCGCATAATCCTAGGTACCCGTGATACGTTGACAAATTGCAAACCGTGGGATAACGGTTATTATATCGACATCGGGACAATCACAGAGCGAGACTTGGCGTAGGGAAGTTGTTTTCGTCGCACTCTCGTTTAGCCGCGACGTGGGCGTAGTTAAATTTACGTTTTATACGAAACACGTGTAGTTTAATTAAATTTCGTCGAACATATGCACGATTCGCTAGCGAACGATATATTTTAACGTGTAATTAGTATATCGCGCGGAGTCAGCGGTCGAAATTACATTCTTCTGGGAGCTAATTTGCTGGCTGCAACAAACAGTACCGGTAGCAGAGCCGGCCTGCTGAACTTGATAATTACCATAGCCTGATTAATCGTCGGCCGCTAATCGAGTAATAATTCGACTAATGACGATCGCACGGTAACAACCTAGTATGAATAATTTGACGATACGAATAATCACGCTATGTATGAATAATACATGACAAATTAATCCCCAAAACTAACACGGGCCACGCGGTGCAATTTTCAACCCTGTCCCGCGTCTCCTATCAATTTCCCGGGGATCAGTCTCTCTATCAAGCTCGCGAAACGTATCGCGCGAAATATATACGCGGAAGGCACGGCGTTAAAGAAAAAAGAGAAACACGGAACGGGGGGGAGAGAGAGGAGAGAGAGGGAGAGAAAGAGGGTAGATATAAAAAGCGGGAAAAGGAAGAAGGGGAATATAATAGATAAAGAAAAAGGGGAAAAAATACGGCGGAAGATTGAAGCGTGCTACTAATTAAAATGCAAATGGCGGCATTTTATTAACGCGGAGAGTGGCGGGCGCGTCGTAAGTAATGTCACGGTTTTACGGGACGAGTATTAGCATGGCTTTTACCCCGGCCTGATTATCCCGATAGATCCATTTGTCTCGATTAACATGTCCTGTTAATTCGATCAACCGGAATTCCATTTCCTGTTAATACCTTTCCGTCAGCGCGATCGTTGGTCGCGATCAAAGAGACGCTCCTCGCCTCGTCGCGGAAATTATTATGCTCGCTTCGTTTCGCCCTCGCGCGTTTTCTCTCTTTGTACCAGCGAAGACGTACTCGGGGTCGCGTAGTGTAAGCTCCGTCCGTGCGCTGTTGCACCCGCGTGAATGTTTCAGTTGTGCAATTTGCCGGACCTCGCTTCGAATTCATGGTATTCTTTTGTCCTGGGTAATTGGGTCAAGCGCTTCGTAAATATTTGCTCCGACGTACCGGTTGCCGTCGGTTTAGTTGCGGACTGGACAAATACCCTTTCGGTATAGTCCGTCTGATGGCGAGGCCTTCGTCGATCATCCGGCCTGGTCGGTTCATAAAAGTTGGAGGATCCGCCTGGCCCGGCAGCGCGGTTCATCTCGAAGGAAAGCGTGCTTGCTCGTTCGCGGAGAACGTTGTAACGTTGTAACGTTCGTGAAAAATTCGCGTCACTGTCTACTTTAAGAGTCTCGTAGCACGTAAATACGGAATGCGTAATGAACAGCGGTCCTTATTTTTCTCTTTTCCCCTTCCTTCCTTTTTCCTCTCCTCTTTGCCCTCCTTTTTATCCTCTTTTTGAGCGGTCCGACATGGCGAACAAACGGCGCAGAGCAAACGCTAAGACCGACAGCGGAAAATATAACGCGGAAGCGTGCCGCGGAATATTTTATATCGGATGAAAATGTTTCATCGCTGGCATGCCGTTTGGTTTTACCACTGCGTATCGTGTATTTTCAACGGGGTCGTCGCGTACGCGGGATACCGTATTAAAACCGCCTGAACGATGCGTTTAAATAATTAACCCTGTCTCGAACGTCGTTTAATTCTTTATTCCGCTGCACGCGCTCAACAGCTCCGATATCCCAATTGACCGTTCGAACGGTAATCGATACGGGCCTGTTGGCAAACTATTGCAACTCGTTGCTCCGCCAATGCATAATTTTTTCACCGCGCTCTGCTGCGACGTCTACCCTCCCGTGCGACTATTTCCAATTGTAGACGACGCGACGAAGGGAAACGGAATCGAACGACGACGGGTAGAACAGGCAGAGGGATGGATCGGTGGTGATACGACCGGTTCGCGTCTGTCGCGACAGCGAGGTCCGAACGAATGTCCCTTTAGTTCGGCCGGACGTTGCGGCCCCCGTGCCACCATATTTAAATAACCAGCGAGCGTCGCGGCGCGAGCAAGAACGTTTCGTTTTGCCGTGGATTTCGCAACGGACACGACCGGATACAGGACCTCTGCATGGATAATAAACGACTTTCGGTAGTTCAACGGACTGCGTTTCAGCCTTCGTATTTTGAGAAGCTCACCGTTCTCCGGTCACCGCCGACCAACCCCCGCGCGTCTATCCTCGTTGAGAACGAGGGTGCCGCGTTTCCCGTCCGACCTCCCTTGCTTTCTGCCTGTCTCGCCCTCCCTCCCTGACTCTCTCTCGCCAGTTTCATGTGCCACGCGCTCTCTGCAAGCAACTTCCGCTCGTAACTTGTACCTCTCTATTTTGTGCCGCAGGATATCATAGCTCACGAGCCAGGAATGGTGTTCCACGTCGTAAACCTCATCGTGATGGTACTGATGCCGATGGTGGTCATCCACGTGAAGGATTCCGGATTCAGCCTGTGTAAGCGCCATTTTACGTATCATTTCGCTGAACGCGGTTCTCAGACTCGTACACGCGGTTGCGAGCGTGTTCCAGAACTACCTATCGAGATGAAATATAGGAAGTAGGAGAGCATTGTCGTGGCACTGTCTTCGCGTGGCGTAACGTCGTTTCTGCTTTCGGGGACGCTGATATAGGGGATCGTTTAGAATGGAAATTACGGACTTTAAGTCGACTCGCGGTTATTTTATCCACGGCTCCAGCTATTCGAACGCCGCGATTAGACGTTGGAGAGGGACGTTTCAATTTTCTAGCCAAACGACTTTATTTATCCCGCGAATCGAAGTCCGCGCGTAAAGATTCGCGATGAAGAGCGGGAACGGTGACGGTAACGGGTATAAGGGAGTGTACGGGCATAAAGGGAGCCATAAAGGAGAACAGGGCAAGTTTTCGCGAGCGAATATTACTCGCCGCTGCAACGTGCAAAGGTTCTAAGTCCATTTTCGACTGCACACCTCGCACGTTACGGTCGAACAATTTTGAATTATTCCGTCTGCGCAAGCTCCAAAAATGCGAAAGCTTACGGAGCCTGGAGCGCACAAAGGAAGGAATGTCGAATCGAAACTTTCAGCTGCAATGAAACTTTATAGCATTCCGCGAATTACGAGCATCGTTTCTCTTTTCGCGCGATATTGGTGTCCGTTCGGCTGTTTAATTATCGAAACCCTATCGCGTACGACATCGGCGTTGCGCGATGCCATTTAATTCGCCATCATTGCAAAGCAGAATGTCGTTTAAATCGAATCGCTGTCAGCTTTTCGAATTCTCTGTCCCTCTCTCTCCCTCTCCCTTTCTCCCCCCCCCCTGTCTTTTTTCCTCCTTTTTTTTTAATTATCTGCGTCGACGTAAATCGAGCCGCTGTCCCATCGCTGTTTACCACTTTGGCGCTCTCGCACCGATCGCCAATATGCGTTGATTAACGAGATATCACTGATTTACGCTCATTAACGGAAATTTTCAATTTTCGACCGATTTTGATTAGTCGCTTCTGCCTGGCTCGGCGTCACGTGACGCTGCTTTAATTCTCGTTACGCGAGTCACGCCGGACAGCGTTGTAGCGCCGTATCAAAAATTCTATTTAAATGCAATACGCACGGTGATCCGTGAGATCCGATGGTCGAGTGTCATCGCGTACGCGAATGCAATTACACGATGCACCGATTGATCTACGACTCGATCTGGTCGATCGATTATGCCAGTGGTCGGGAAACATCCGAAATTCGTATCAACGGCGAAACAAAGTTCCATTGTCCGCGGGATATTTTATATTTCGATATTTTTCAATCGAACCCGACGGTTCCCAACGTTCGCGCGAAACGGCTACCCGTTACAAGTATTTCTCGCGCGAGACCTGGCGTGGGCGAGTTTCCTCCTTCACCCTCAACGTGCAAAACATCCTGGCGTCCCACTCGGTTTTCCGGACGATCGAATTTACTCTGTTTACCCCTTGGGACCGCGTCTACGTATATCCAACCTGTAGCCGAAGAAAAGCCAAACAAATAATTAAAACGGGGACAGTGAGAAGCGGTGAAAAAGTTTCTCGCCGATCTGCTCTGTAGCGGCACGCAGGCCGCGAATCTCAATTAAAAGAGATTTTATTGGAACGTCCACCGAGATCGCCTGGAAAACCGCGCGAAGCGAGCTCGAGAACGATCGAAGAAAAGCAATTAAAGAGTAAGCACATCGAAGAATCCGTGGAAGGCGGCACTCTAATTAAAGGATTTCAAATTAAAACATCTTCGACGATAGTCGCGTTCCACGATCTCCTCGTCCGGGGATCGGTAAGCACCGGGGACGAACGTTCCAGGTCCACGAAACGAAACTCGATGCCGGTTCCTCGACGCCGGTGACGCATTATCATAAAAGGTCGCTTAAAGTTTCACAGGGTCGAGGAGAACGGGAGACAGATTTTTCGCGTTGATTAAAGAATGCCGGATCACGGAAGCTAACAAGAGGCCCGTGTAATAAGAAAGTTGCTTGCTCCGAGCGGATGCTTTCGTCCGGAAATTTTTTCGTAGTACAGCGATTTGCGTTCGTTGCAGAGTTTTACGAGGTCTTCCGAGTTATTCTTCTTCGACTATGTCATCCGAGTTTATCGCGAATCTTTTATCTCGCGAAACTGAAGAAATTCCATCCTTTGCTTGCATAATAATGCTTCCGTAGAGTCGCATAACGATGACTCCGGGAAGATACGTTTGTTATTCGAGAACGGGAGATAGGGAAATTTTAGTCGTCTTAATGACAAGCGCGATAACGAACCGCGGCTCCGTGAACGATATCGGTTAGAACCCCTTGGACCCTGGCGTTTCGGGAAGAGACCGGAAAATTCTTTGGTTTGGGGACTTTCGTGCACCCTCGCGCGTTGCACCGTAACTGCTACCCCGCGTGACGTTTTCCGCGAAGAGGTCATGGAAGAAATGGAAGAGGAGGGAAGAGATGGACGAACGATAGAGCGAGTGGGAAAAATCCGTGAACCGGCGAGAAAAGTCGTCGTGCCGTGACACGTGAGCCACATAGAGATTCATACGTCAACTAGTCGGTACATCCGGTTGTGTAAGCGCTTCTTAAAAGTTCTGAAGTCTGGGGCGCGCGAGTGTGCCTGCAGCCTAAAAGTAGTACGAGTGAAGTGGCTGTGCGGGAGAACAAGGGTCGGCCTCCTTTTCTTCTTCTTCTTCTTCTTCTTCTTCTTATTCCTCTCGTCCAACCTCCTTCGTTCTCGACTTTTCTTCCTTCCTTCCCCTTGGCTTCTTTTCCACGGGTTCGTCGAGATCCTCGACCCCCGGCTTGACACGCGAAACAACTCACGTACGCGCGAGAGAGGGTTGCGCACTCGAAAAAAAAAAGGGAAGTGAAGAGAGGAGAAAAGGGAAAGGGGGAGGAAAAGCGTAGACCCGGCCATGGCAGACACGAGCTCGTCGAGATCCTCGAGGCCTTTGCGCGGAGGCTGACGCTCGCGCCGCGTTTCAAAGCAGTTTTGTCTTTCGATTGCCAACGTGAAAGGACGCAAAGCAACCCCGAGGCCTGCGTAATTATCGACGAGCGGTTTTTATTCGAGCTCCCTTTGCCGGCCGTTGGAATTAAAGACGTCAATGCTCGCCACTTAGCGTGGTCGCTCGGAAAAAGCGCGGGGACAGCCTTTCAGTCGGGTGTAAATTTAATGAAACGGAGCTTCCATTTGTCGCGGGCGACGGCCTGAAATTGCATAAAGGGTCGAGTGATTTTTCTCGTCACACCGGTAAAGTAACTCGAGACGATTCGCCGGGGAGGGTGTGACGGAAATCTCGGATCGATCTCGCTAGAGGGATCTATCCGAGGAGGAGGCGAACAGCGTGGGTGGATGAGAATTATTTTTGGCGAAAGAGGAACCTCGGTATCGCCAGAGTCCGTCATTTTGTCGTTCGTATAGAAAATTAACGAAATTTCCATTATTAGCGAGCATAAAGACGAGTTTAACGCACGCGATCATGGCAGGAATATAATTTGCCTGCAAACAGCTCTCAATTGAATAAACGATAAAGCCCGAGGATCTTGAGGACACGTTGATATTATGCGCCGGAGAGAATTGTCTGCCGGCACGTGATTCCCGTGCTGCTCTTTGGAGATGCAGCGTACCATTAAAGTCAGAAACAGGAGGGTGCGGGAGCAGAGGTGCCGAGGGTAGGAGGAAGGGTGGGTGTATTCGACCGCGTGGAATATCGAACGCCGCTGGTCCCGTTCGTATCGAGTTTTTCAGCCAACGAATTGTCCAATCGTTTGTCTCTTTCGGTAATTACCGCTTTTACGCGGTGCTCCTTGCTCGAGGCGATCGCTTATGGCGACCAGAGAACGCGACGTCGGCGGCGGCGGCGTCGCTCGAAAATGGCAGTCCGGGTGGACGATTTAATTTTCGCGCTCGTGCACTCGTCGAACCGCGTTGTTTGCGAGCAGACGAGACGGGGGCGTAAAAGGCGCGCGGGACAGGGCGAGGAAAATCGGTGGATTTCGGCAAAGAGTCGGAACACGATGGGGGTTGGGGGGTACGATCGTAATTACGAAGCCAGGAAAATATCGACGAGCGGTGGCCGTCGAATTCCATTCTGCTCCGGTATCCCCGTATATCGTGCTTCCCTTTTTGGTATTACGGAACACGACACCCAGTAGAAACGTGACATCGAGCTATCGACCTACGCCTCTTCCCTTCTCCCCCCTTCTCGCTCTCTCTTCCTCTCTCGCTCCCTTCCTCTTTCTCCGTTCTTCTCTTTTCGCTTTTGACCTCCTCTTTGTCCCTCTTTTCGGTGTCTCTCGCAGCACCGTGTTCACCTCTCGTCTTTGTTTCTCTCGGCATCCCTCTGCCATTCGCGTAGCTGCCGCCCGCAAATGCAATAAAAGGCGTCGAGTGTTTACTCGCACTGTTAAGTGGCACTCGGTATCATATTGTCGCAGCACAAGTATTCTCGTCTTCGCAGCGTGATTGGACGTGCGCGTAACTCGTGACGCGCGACACCCCGCGATATTTCGTGATTTCTTGTTCAACGATGAGCGATAAAGAAAAAGACGGAGACAGGAAGATGGGGAGAGAGGGTTGTAGAGGGGCGGGAGTAAGCGAGAGGAAAAAAATAAAAAAGGAAAAATAGATGGAACGAATAGAGGATGAATGGAAGCTGGAAAAGGACGGCGAAAATGCATCGATGCTACGTAATGAGTCGCGATTTCATTGGGATTAATTAGGCCAGTGAGGAACGTGTTTGTCGCGCGGGACACGCGAGCGATGCGCAGCGTTTCGCTGTCACTGCAAAAACGATCTTCGTACCTGTATAATCGCATTATTGCGCGCTCGAGTATCGGTGACTGAGTTTTTAATGCGACACCGATTTAATTGCGGCGAATTAATGGAGGACACGACAATGTTTGGATACACCGGTAGACAAATATTCGTTTAAGAGTCTCCTTTTTCGATCGATTCATTTCCATTGGTAATTGCG